TGCACCTCAATAATTTAGTATCGGAGTAATGTAGTATTCAATGCTTGTAACTTATGTTAACTAAGTAACATACATTAACGATCAGCACTTATGCTGAAATTTATTCAAAATCTAAAAGAAAAAGGGTTTCATTACGTAAGGATTTTTAACTTGTGCGAGAAATTACAGGGATAATCATTTGTAGAATTGATACTATTGAAATAATTTAATAAAATATTTGACGATTTTATTTATGTAGAGTTTCTTGGGTGTGAAATAATAACTAAGGACATCCTGCAGGGATGATAACAACGCACTGACATGTACTGGTACGAATCTAGGTCAAAGTATGTATCTAGTACAACTTGACTGTGGAGTTGGGCGATCTTTTTATAAGTGTTATGATCCTTGTCTGGAGACGCTACTGTATGACTAGATTTCCACATGTCATGTATTATGACTTAAAGCTGTAGTCGGTTTTTTTCAAACAACGTCGAGGTGTCAATTTTCAGTAACTCGAGCAGCCATCCGGCAACGAAATCAGACACTGAATTATCCACATGATACGTAAAGTATCTAATTAAAAATAATACACAAATGATCATTCTTGACACCGCATTTAAGTTGAATTCATCTAAAGGTGTTTTTAATAACTATATTACATATGATGTAAAGGTGTTTTTAAAGTTAATTTATACGGATTCAGTGTGTGATTTTACAGCTGGATGATTAACCGGCTATCTGAAATTTGACAAATTAACGAGGTTTGGTGGAGTCTGGCGACATCTTTGGGATACGATAGATAGCGAATCATATATACCATGTTTAAGAAAATAAAATATTGCGAGATTTCTCCAACGGTTTAGTGATATTCGTCATGTTCTCGAAATTGGGTCGTTTCGCAAGGTCGACTGAGTTACAAATTTTCCTTTTAGCACGAGTGCATCGGCAGACACCTGGTGTCTGTGCACTGTGGTTGACAAGCTTCTTCTCTTGGCGGTCTTTGACAGGTAAGTGCTTTTTAAAGCATGCTTTGCCAAATATTGTTTACCTACTAATCCGTATTACCACAAGGGTTAATTTCGTTATCTTTTATCAACAATACAATACATTTAAGATGGTTGTTAGAATATTTGTAATATAAGCGAGTAGGGACTACGCGACGGCTGCCTTCCCAGCACTGTCTCGGTGCAAACAGACTATTAGGTTGACACGTTCTATGGTAAAGTTTTATGTTTACCGGATGTCTGAACTGTTTACTCATAAAAGCACATTTGTTCTCTACAATCGGCATTTCGATAGTGGTCAGAAACGACATAATACAAAGACAAGCATGGGATATAAATGGTAACTTTGTACCCATAGTACTTTGCGGCAATATTAACTGTCCGAAGGTGTCGTATGGGACTCACCAAAACTGTAAGTTATTATATTCCAGAATTGCTTAAAAACTAGAATACCAGATGTTTTTAAATGATTAAAAATTGTGAAATATTGCAGAAATATCTGTGAAATAACGCATGACTAATCATAGTATTCAATGTCTGTATATTGTTGTATGTAGGTATTTTTAGATGTACTTCAGTTGTGGGTCGCACAACGTTACATGGTGTGCGCACGAGGTCTGCACGATGTGTGCACGACGTACTCGCGATGTCCGCACGACATGAAAAATAAGCTATCGCACATTTGTACGCACATTGTGCGGTTCTATCGCACAGATGTGCTATTATATATCGTGGTTGGTATAAATTTAGAAATGACTGATAGATAAATGTGGAATAGGGTATATTTATTTTCTAAATACATAAATGTACAACTAAGTACATTTCCTAATTACGCTATAAATATATACGTTGGACACGTGTGTAGATCTATCATATACAGACTAAAAAATCTCGTAATTCAAGGCGTTTTGTTTACAAAATGCAACACGTTTTATATACCTTAGATATGTAAAAATTAAATGGGCGTCTCTTTTTGTCTCGGCACTGAAACATTTAAAATTTCATACCATCAGAAAGTATAATGTATTTCAAATCAAATTTCCTTTCTGCCGGTATATAGTCATCACTTCCGTGTTACTCTCATTTTCTATCGTTTTATCAGAGACATGTATAACATGTATATACGTCTCTGGTTTCATAAACAAAAATATATACTCAGTTGCATCTTCAGTACTGTGTTTGTTACACGGGCGACCTAGCTGAGTACGGATCCTGTCACTTATATACCCGTATACAGGTAATGTTTTAGGCTAGGCCTGCTCCGACTTCAATGATATACCAGAGACGTATATAACATATATGTATATGTGTTATATACGTCCCTGGATATGCAAAATATGTTAGTATGATGCAATGGTATTCTTTTAAAAAGAGCGCCTGAAGGTGTGTCTCGATCAACCAATGCAATAACGTTTCCGGGAAGACAACTCTTGCCCAAGGTCATTGAATCTAATGAAAACACAACGTGTTTATTTCACATAGAGTTCTTCTTTCCAATCAGCCGGCTGTATACTGTGACAAGGTAGGTATTTCAGCAACAGATAGTACATGAGTGTATTGACATACGAGGCTGGTACTTTTGTTATTGCTACATTCACTCCATACCTCGTCTATGTAGTTAATTATTTCTTTTTGAAGTACTACATGTTTCAAAATATTGATGTAATTATCGGACATTTAGTACAAATATCTTATCTATTACATACATATATATAGGTCTGTCGATACACGTATATGCGGTACGTACATGGTTGTTTTGACCTACGAGGCTAGCTCCTTAATGAATGACATCCTATGACTATTGTTTTAATATATATTTTTCTGATGAAATACTGATCCCTGTCGACCACTACAAAATTGACTAGAATTGAAATACAAATATTTTGGTTTTTAAATGACATTTTAACTGGTTATCGAATTTCCTGAAATTTTCACAAAATGTTCTTGACATAAAGAGCCAAATAATATATTTTTTGTGCACTCCAACTGAAGGTACATGCTTCAGTTCTTTGAAAAATTGTCATAGCTGAAAAAATGTTTTTAAAAAATCTTATTTTTTTTTCTTTTTGAAAAATTTCGATACATTTTTAATGAGACATATATAACACGTGTTATATACGTCTCTGATTTTAACCAACATATTGTCAAACTGATCCTTGATAATCAAACAGAATATCATTTTTGTAATGTATGCTGTGGTTTTAATACCTTAAATTTTCAAATGAAAAACTGACTCCTTTCATACTGCTATTGTTACAACACTGAATAGGTCATAGCACATGCCCTATGGACCTTCTGGATTTTTTAAATCCTATTTCAAGGGTAGTCACCCAAGGTGCTTAAAATATCACACCTATTTAATTTGGTGCATATTCAGAATTCTATTGTTCCTGAAAGAGATCCTTTAATTAAATAAGATTAATTTGATTTGATTTGATTAAGTTTAATATGATTTGTGGCATTTTGTCATGCATATCTGCTATGCATACATAGTACAATAATTTGCTGTACATGTGTAAAATGAGTAGGTCGGTGTAGCTTTACATATTGTTAAATACGATCTCTATCACTCAGCTGATTGAGCATGCTTCTTTGGCTAAGTTGGTAAATACTGGAGATCTACTATCACTCATGTGTGATTTCCTGTCCTTTCACATTGGTGTCAAACATACACCAGCCAACCATTGTAATATGATGTTATGCAGTAATTTATAACATGCAGTTGGAATTTTTATGATACGTGTATGTTTATAGGAAATGGAGCATCAACACCAGGGATCCCTGGAATCTGTTAATTTTATTTGTTGACATGTTGTGTTATGCTGGGGAGGTCACGTGGTTAAGGTGGGTGACCAGCTTAATCACTAGCTCTCCACCTTTGTGTTCCAGGTTCGAGACCTATGTGTGGCAGTCGCTAGTTACTGAAACCTGGCATGTCCCTGGCTGTTTATAGGATATGAAGTAAAAATAATAATTTGATAGGCTAAGCCTACTGTCATCAGAATAATTTTACAATGGCATATGTAGAGCTTAGATGCGAAATATGGTTCACAATACAATGACATCATGATAACAGATATAGAGAATACATGGTCAGTGTCTTGAAATCTAAGTCGTATTTTGGTGAGGGTGAAGAAAGACAAAAGTTGTGAGCCACTTTTGTCTTTTTGTCCCGAGTCAAAATGCAGCTTATATTTTAAGGTACTGACTATGTGTTTATTTATATGACAACAGTTATTGAAAATTCAGGCTATCAAAACTTCAACAGTTTCTGAAGCCTAATCAATCTTTGTTTCCTTGACATGGACGTTACCCTGAATTCTGCTTAAAATAATTGCTCTAAGTGGATAAAGAGTTTCACACTCCAATGGATGTTAAAAGCAATTTCATGAATTTTTTTGTGAATGAATTTAGTTATTAATATTTTTAAATGAAATATTTAAGTAAGCCATAATGTAATTCTATTGAATCAATGCACATGTTAAAATACAGCTTTTTTCTGGCATTCACGAATACAGCAAAAATATGTGTAGAAAGTGTATTTTGACATTGCCAACACCATTTGCAGGATGAAATTTAGTAAATCATCAAATGACGCTTGTATCAATATTGTCAAGAAATGTTTTCTTATAATGTTGCTCTATCATTGAGATGTCAACTAATAATCTCCACTAATTCACAGATCCTGGTGTTGATGTTTATCTCCTATGTAACTTTTTTAATCTATTGTCTACGGAGTATACTCAGGTATCCATCTACAATTCCACAGAGACACAAACCAAGGTTTGACTCCTCTACCTCTTTGTGTTATTTTTCAATTGTTGTACATATCTAAGATGTTTGGTCATAAATATTTCTCTGTATGTGATGGTCATGTTCAGATGGAACCCCGAAATCAGTTCTCAAATGTGGTTTACCCCTTTGATAAACATATCACATCATACAAATTATATATACATGTGTACATTTGTATCTATTTTTTTTCTGGTAGAGAACCATTGCTGGAAGGACAAAATGCCTACTGATGAAATGGGTGCCATAGATGGACAAGTAGGAGTTGTCTCCCCTCTACGACAGACAGTAGATGCCAGTATTGATTTTATAGGAGGTGTCAATGGTAATATATGATATACATATCTGTGGACACATATGCCATAGGTCCGGGGTTTCATCCCCACTGGATGCATAATAATTAATTTCATTTGGTGTAGTGGACCACTTCAAGTAAAAGTTATAAGGAGTCTAAGAGGCTTCATGGAAGCTAGAAAACCTGGGTTGATGTGGTGTTCAAAGAAATATAGATGTCAGAAATAGTGCTTGTGTAAAAATATACATATTGAGATACTGCCATGTACTCCTTCATCCAAAGGGAGTTTATCTTGACTGGTAGGAGTTGTGGACTAGTAAAATGGAGTTGTGGGTTTGAGCCCTGGCAAAGTCACACATCTTACTTTCTGGTCACACTTTTTATATTCTCATTATTTGGGAATGGTTTGTAAATCTGAGTTTTCTTTAGGAAGGGATGGATGGGGGATGGGAGGAGACATAGATCAGGATTTTATATGACAATTTGAAGTTGTTTTAATTTTTATTTTTAATCATTTGAAAAAAATTGTAGAATGAAATGAGCCAAAATTTTAGTATTTAATCTCTGGATATCATCTTTCATGAGAACTTCTTGTACTGTAGAAAAAAAAGTGCTAGAATTCTGTGATATAGAACTAGTATTACACAACTTTTCAAGCCTCAAAATCAGAGCATATGCAAATGTAAGCTTCCTAGATATTGCTACTAGCTAACAATTGTTTTACTGTTAATGTATATAGATAAAGAAAAATGTTCTTACAGATATATAAATGTACTTACAAATACTAAAAATGTACTTATATGTTTATAAAATGTACTTACTGGTATATAAATTATATTTACAGGTGGAATAGCCAATGTCATAGTTGGACAGTCCCTGGACACAGTTAAGGTGAAGATGCAGACTTTTCCAGGAATATATAAAAATGCATTTGATTGTTTTATGAAAACTTACAGACAGGATGGTATAAGGGGACTATATGCTGGCACCATTCCAGCCATGACGGCCAATATTGCTGAGAACTCTGTCCTTTTCATGTTCTATGGTCTCTGTCAGAAGCTTGTCATGAACGTTTCTAAAAAGAAAAGTGTAGCAGACCTGAATCCAGTGGAGAATGCTTTATCAGGGAGTGGAGCGGCTTTCTTCTGCTCATTCACACTTTGTCCAACAGAGCTCATCAAATGTCGTCTACAGGCCATGAGAGAAATGGCAACACATGGAAAATTGGAAGGAGGCATGGAAAAAATGAAAATGTAAGTATGTATCGTTCAGTAAGTACTATAGACTCAAAGTAAAAGTACTATTAAACAAGTTATTTGAAGATTTGTCAAAGCAATGTGTCCCTTATGCAATATCTATTTCAGTCAATGGGAATAACAAAAGAGTTACAAACGGTTGAGAAACAGTATCTTCTATAAGCTACATGTCAAGCTGTGTGTAAAATTCACGATCAAGAACTAACAAGGATACTGTTGATTAGTTTAAACTATGAATATATAACTAAAGTTCTGCAATGAATATTGTGTATGAAATTGTAACATTGTTTTTTGGTTGTTAGTGGTCCCTGGGGACTGACAAAAGATATCCTGCGACAGGAAGGAATTGGGGGCATGTTTAAAGGCCTCACCAGTACCATGGCTAGGGAGATGCCTGGCTACTTCTTCTTCTTCGGAGGCTATGAAATCTCACGTCACTACCTCACACCTCCAGGCAAAACAAAAGATGAAATTGGTGTGTACAATTATACCAAGTGATTTCCAAATTGAAATACAAAAAGCTATTTGTAGATACTTTTGAATATTGTGATAGAAAACAGTAACAATTTGATGTTTGATATGTGCATGTGTGAAAATTTTCATTCCTAATCTTGTAAGCTTACAGATATTTTAAAAGCTGCACAGGAACTTATATTGATAACAGACATCTGATATCATGTTAGGGAGCATAAGTGAAATGAAAGATAGCATGTGAAAAAATAAGTAGTAGATATCAGAACCTGTTAAAAGCCATCACCAGTGACATGTGGTCTTTCACTTAATTACATTTTGACATGGCCTGTCACCAACAGACTTCATAGAGCTGCATCTCATTAAGGTCATACAATATCTTTATTCTGGGTTGGAAGACTGAAGTGTCATTGTCAAGTGAAATCTGATCTTCAGGTGACATCACGAGTGAAAAACACTTGACATCATGAGTAGGAGACATTAAAATCTTGACATGGGGATGTCAGGCATTAGCGTTACACGACATCAACATCTCGGTTGGGAGATGACAGACATTATGGTTAGCAGACTTTTACATTCTGGACAGAAGACTTGTAGGTCAAGGTTTAGAAGACATCATCATCTTGACCAAGAGACCTTTGAAACTAGGGTTAAGACATCTTGGCCAAGAGACATTTGTAACTAGGGTTAACAGATATCAACATTTTGGCCTAGAGACATTTGAAACTAGGGTTAACAGACATCAACGTCTTGGCCAAGAGACATTTGAAACTAGGGTTAACAGACATCAACGTCTTGGCGAAGAGACATCTGAAACTAGGGTTAACAGACATCAACGTCTTGGCGAAGAGACATCTGAAACTAGGGTTAACAGACATCAATATTTTGGTTAGACATTATCTGTCATCAAAGCTAGAAAATCCTATACATGTATCTTTATCATATGAACTTTTCAATCAATGAGATTTCTGATTAAATTTGTTTGCCTCTGATTGTAGGTGTGTGGCGAACAGTAGTGTCGGGAGGTATAGGAGGTGTTTGTTTATGGACTGCCATCTTCCCTACTGATGTCGTCAAGTCCAGAATACAAGTCGAGAGTACAGTGGGCACCAAGGCTCCATCCTTTTACAAAACTCTCACACACATCGGGAAGACAGAAGGTACACTATATCCTTGGGCAAAAGAAACAATCTCCATTTGTTTTTCATTATAAATCACAATTTATGCTTTGCAATATGATAAAGAGTGAAGTTAATTTTTTGTCTATTTCAATATCTTTTACAACATTGTTGTGCCACCCGGGATTCGATTGTTGTAAAATAAATAAAGATTATTTTTTAACATTGTTGTGTGTTGCCTTTGGGCAAACATTGAACAGATTTTTCTTTGTTTTACAAAAATACAGTCTTTGACCTAATGTTTAAATTGTAACAGGTATCAGAGCACTATATAATGGACTAGGGCCAACCATCGTTAGGACCTTTCCTTCTACGGGTGCCTTGTTTCTCACCTATGAAACAACGAAGAAAGTGCTGACGGACTTCGCTGACAGAAATATGTGATACATGACCATGATGTAGATCTTCATTCGTATAGTTATGTCAGTTCAAAAAAAAGTTGGATATGTTTATGTGAGACATTGATTTGAAGTATGTATGATATTAATCTTTGTTTTGCCGTTGTTTTAGATAGCAATCCAATGTGTAGGGACTATTTTCACTGCAGTGCAATGCTCTGATCCTGATAAATTCATGAGGTGAACATTTGTGATCAAACAATACTCAGGAGCTAGCACTAGCTAGAAATACAGACTGGAAACTAATTTTACATTGTCATGGTTTCAGTAAACACTAATTTATAGCAGTGTTGCCAACTCACCTGATGTCATCTGGTCATTCTGGTTTTGGCCATATCATGACCTGCTCAGATCATGAAAAATGCTAAAAACACCTGGTATCTCTTTAATTTTGATCAGTATCTAAAATTTCAAAACAAATTTTGGGACGTGATATTGGTAAAACTAATGTTCAATCAAACCACAGAACCTTTTGACACATTGTGTGATCCTTGATTTGGAAGGTATGATAAGATGATAGTGGTTGGCAACACTGTCTAAAGCAAAGCTGTATACACAAAGCGGTAAATTTTTCTGTGAGATTTTTTCCAAAATGAGATTCCCTTAGTTAAAATGAAGCATTGTAAAACTGAGAGATATCATTATTTATTACACAAAAGTGTTGATACCAATTTATTTAGAAACTTTTTGATGATAGAATTATTAAAGATATTTGCTATTTTTGTAAAGGTTTCAATACGTTTTGAAGTGGTCACTGGTTTACTCAATACTTCTTTGCAATTAATTTTGAAACAATCTCCAACATAATGTTTGTGCCAAATATGTTAGATTAGATATAAAACATAATTTCAGCTTATATCATTTCACAGAAAATTAATGTGTAGGTATATGTATGTACATGAGTGTGTAGTAAGGTAGGGCTGCAGTGGATTACAATGTTATGGTATGAAAAAATGTTATGCAGAGACCAAATTACTGAATGTCGGCTTGATGCTAAGTACTTGAAAATACGAACATGTTTGAGTGAAGTGTCTGAATGTGGATATTTTCAATGTATGTTTGAAACTCTAAAAACAGACATGAATTTATCTTTATATTAAACGAAGTCTGAGAATGTCTCTGCCACAATGATGTGGATTTTCTGTGATATTAATAGTGACATCATTATGTTAATTTTTGTGGGTATTTTTCTTCCGAAAATCATAAAATAATTCTTCAGACCACATTGTTGTACAACTTTTACACATCCCAGAAACTTGGTCTGATTTTTAAGCATTGCATAGCTAGAAAAAATTTTGTGGATCAAATTTTTCCCAATTTTCTTTAAAACACTAAAATTAATATTTTAACGAACTAAAAATTAGCACTCTGGATGTGAAAAAGAATTTCTTATTCTCAAATGCACATTTCTAATTATTTCACAGACTAAATTGTCACATTCAATTTAATGTACTGGGGAAAAAAATATGATTCATTTGAAAATATACAGATATAGGGTATTTTGTTTCAATTGTATATGACTAGCACTTGATGTGAACACTACTACTTGTGTCTTTCATTGGTCCAGTCTAATCATGTAATGACAGTCCAGTTTACTCATTGGTCAATAATGACATTGATACATGTATTGTACCTTGTAACATATTAACTTAGTATTCAGTTGAAACAGCCAGACTCACAGACTTGATGTGATACAGATATTGCATGTGTCAGATACCATCCATGCAGCAGAAAGCCCATCACTTAGGAATGGCGAAACACATAATGCACTGTATTACATGTATCTTGACAATGGTGTAAACCTGTTTAAATTGTGTGTAGTGATTTACATTTACAATTTAGAATTGGTGTGTGGTCTGTCATGGAGGTGCTATCATTGACTTGGTAATTAAGGAGATAAGATCATACAGTTTATATTGGTCAGGTGTTCAGCTTTAATCTGAACACCATACTGTCAGTTATGATGTTTTTCCTATTTTTGTTGATTGTGAAATTGAGGTGATGTTTTGCTCTAAAGATATTCGTTTGAGATGATACAGTAAAAAAAGAATCATTGTTGGTCAGTTTACAAATAGTGGTTAAATTGTGATATCATATGATAAATGAAAAGAATGTTGTATATTTTATCAAATACCCATTTCTTCATTAAGATATGAATAGTTGTACCAAAAATGATTATCTTGTACAGTCTTTCAGTATAATTTTAGAGTCCATAGTAGAACATCTCTAAATATCTACATGCAGCAATATAAAGACACTGAATAATATGATTAAATATGTTAGATTTTAGGGATATTTCTGCAATATTTCACTATTTTAACTAATACATTTTTCTGATAGTGTTTATACAGAAATTCCTAAACAGTATTTCTAAGTTTTGATGAGTCACATATGGCATAATGAGAGTTACACAACAAAGTTCTAATACAAAACTCTGGGTTGAAAAATCCTTTATTGAAAACTATTTTTCTAGTACACATAGTGTATCAACAAACATACTTTGTACAAATTATCTTTAATAAATCTTAAACACTAGGTTAAGAATAACTGACATTGTTTTGTGCCTGTGATATGTAGATTTAAGGTATTAAGGTGTCTGGTGTTCTACTCGTGATGGGACCTGGCACCCTTCTTTTTGAGATTGCTTCATATTCAACTGCATATATCTACTATATAGGATGTCTACTCAGTGTTATAAATCAGAAAGTATGTTGCATTTTTTCAGATTGATTTGAGTCCACCTTCTAAAAAAACCAAACAAAATATATCCTTTGTTGAACGTTCCATCAGACAAGTGTGTTTATAGATACAATGGGTGTGAATTATGTCCCCATGACCACGTTCACATTTTGGAAATATTGTGAAAACTGAAGTCGTGAACAGTTTGCTCATGAACTGTGTGGCTGAAAAAATAACGGATAGTGATTTTCTAGGATATACATGGAATTTCAATATTTCTGTTAAGCATTCAACTTAACTATTTTTTTGAGACAATGTCTGGTGGATACCTGGCGATGGTGAAATGAAAACATTACCTCAGTATCATCACGGATACTAAGGGCACATGTCCTACTTTACAGTGTATTTCTACTCTGACAAATCAAGGGTGTATTAATATATTAAACTCGACTTTTTAAGTGTGATACTTTTTCTGATGTCCATAATTGGGTACAATGGGTGATTTTGTTTACATCTTACATGTACATCTTCGTGAAATGCTCGTTTACCTTGTGTTAGTTCCTGACGCTAAATCATCCTTTAATCTGTCAGTATGGCTCCTGGAAGATATACTACCGGGTAATGGAGGTGAGATAGGGGATCTCAACTCTAGGGGAAAGAAGTGTTTGCAAATTCATCTTTTTTTTTCCAGAGTGTTAAGATCCCTCATCTCACCAACAAGGAGCTGACTGGTTATATCTCTCTTACCCTGATGGTTTCATTGGGTGCTAGTATGTGTTTTGTTGTCCCAGTGCTTCACGTCATTGACGTGATTGAATTGTTGACATGACGTCATTGAATTGTTACTGTGACGTCATATCATTGTCCTAACTCTCAACTGAAGGGTGAGATGAGGAAATCTCGCTTCGGTAAAAAGTTTGGATATACCTGTCCAGGTTAAGAGAAAAGAAAAGCCGGGATATACCTTTCCAGGGTAAAAGAACATCTTCCTCCCTTATATCATGGACACGTTCTAACGGTCCAACTGGATCGTATGTTCTTGCTTGATGTACTACTCTGGTCGTTTAAAGTGATTCCATTTTAAGAGGCTAGGAGCCACGCAAATGCTTCTAATATACATTTACCAAATCATGTGGTGGTTAATACTTATAGTTGTTGTTTTGTTGTATTTTATAATATGTACAGTATATACGGACGTGTATTTTACCGATTTGTTTTTAATATCATATAATAATGTGTTTGTGGGTGGATGTTTTTACTCTTTTAAACATATAAATATGTATGTGCTATGCAGGCAAATTTTTATTTTGCACTTTTTTTCATTTGTTTTAAATATTTTCATTGAAAAAATAGTCTTCGCCATACGTACAGTACAATTATACTTAACTTACCTACCAGTGCAGTCCTTGTTAGTTCAATACAGTCGCGGAAATCAAACAAAAATATTTACAGATGATCTAGTCTACTTATTGTCTTTTGACGCCTAAAGAAAACGAAGTAATTTTTTATTAAAGTAAATCGCCAAGCCGTCTTTGTCGTCCTTACAAAAGCAAACCTTTTCATTGGCTCTAAGAATATTAAAAAATAACCAATACTTTGTTCCAACCTAGACATTTTATCGATTACAGGTAGTCGGGCTCTACGATTGACCTAGATGAGTAACCATTCCATTTTTGGTCATTTTAGATGGATAAGCAAACTTTGTTTGAATTAGTGAAACATTTTTTTTTGTATGGCATTTTCACATTGTAATTCTGATCTCTATAAGATCTCACCATTACTGCTGAAATGTTACTAGGTTTTTTTACAATCAGCTGATACAGGGTGAAGTAATTATTATGTTTTACTGTTTTTATATTCCGAGAATTATCATTGTTGTTAGCTAAAAGTAGTTTTGAGGACGAATAGAAAAGTGCCTGTGTTTACCTCAGAGTGAAAAAGTTATGGGGAAACGTAATGCAGAAAAAATGAGTGTTATGAAGAAATACCAAGATTAAATGTTTGAGAGAAACAACCAATCAAAGATGCTATGTCCTCTAGTTTTGACATTAAGTTTGAGAATTAATTTTAACGGCACATTCATCGATGACATTTTTAAATTCTTTAAGGTCATGTTTGTCATCTATGATATATGTTAAATGTATCTAAAGAATAAAACACCATTGTTATACCTGGGTTGATTTGGCCTACAGGTTCCATCCCACGGACATTCAAATGACATTGCTTTTAGTCTAAAGCGTCTTATTTGACCTTGTGTTAGACTCTGTTTCCTTTTTTATCAGGCATATTTATATCAGAGTTGACTTCATTAAAAAATGAAAAACTGTTATCTGATCTGAAACGTTGTGGTGATTAATGAATCTAGTTGATAATGTTACAGACCTGCTCACTACAAAGTTGTTGTGATTAATGAATCTAGTTTGTAATGTTATATACCTGCTCACTACTACTGCACATGGTTTGTTTTATCTGAAAGGTAATTAAGCCATATGTTTTGCTCATTTTATGTTCGGTCTTTGTATTCAGTCTGCGCTGTATTGTTTGTGTTTTATATTTCTTTCTTGGTTATTTTGGATTATAATAAAGAACGAGTACACCTCTTTTATAACAAATGTGAAAAAAAACTGAGGTTCTTTATTGATGACTTTTTTGTATGACTGAAATATTTTTATTCACCATTTCCTTCTACGA